ACTTAAGAAACTGATTACACACTGTATTTAAAAACTACAACTATATTTACATGCAGCCTAAATTTAGACTCTTATAACGATACAAGAGAAATAACTTTGACATATAATGGAATAGATACCAATTTCTTTATTGAGTATGACAAATCTGCAAGGTAGATTTACTGATTTTAAATCTTGGGTACTGAAGCTAATATCACCAGTAAAACCAAAGCACAAATTTTGCCAAAAATACATACAAAATGAATTATAAATCAGTCATTTCTTGGCCTTTAAAAATAAAATTTGCTAAAGCAGTTGCCTAAACCTCAAACAGATGCTAAATACATCTTAAGGACATGCAACTTAAAAAAAGGAAATACAGCTGTGAAATCACCACGGCATATTGTGAACTTGGTTCATGACAACAGTAAAGGCTGGAATAAAATGGTGTTTTTTTATTGAAGGTGTCAAAATAGCTTGTATATGTACAAGCTTAAATAATGTCRATTAACATGAAGTTGCTAGCCAAGATACTGTCAAACTCTGCTCGAAGCTCAGGGTAGGAGCTATAAGTGTAGGGCACATCAATAATTGATCCACATGTGTGCTACAGGTCTTCTACCAAAACCTGTTTCAGCATTAAAAGTTACCTTAATTCCCTCTGTGCATAAAACAGAAGACCCTGTGCAAAATCACAAGGATTTTTCCAGCTTGCACTGATCTMCATTCTTYATGTATCTCTGCAAGTAATTCAGTGTTGTTTGCTCTTTCATTGACAGGGACAGATCATCTGTTTGCAGCATGTCAACAACTTTTTTGTTTGTTGCTTTTTTGGACTCATATAAATGCAGGATATTGGTTGTGTTTGGCAGATTTAATGTCACATCTTTTAGAGTTTTGGAAAAGCAGTCTATTATATACTTTGGTTCTTGTAATATGGCTTTATGAGCCATGAGTTGGATTGCTGGTTTTACATTTTCCTGAGATGGACTGCTGTGAGCACCCATCGGTGAAAACAAATCCAACAGATTTTCTTTGTCATCCTCGTCCAGTACACCATCGAGGGCCTTTTCAATGGTAATTCGCTCGCTGTCAGACAAATAAATATCTTGCAAATGATGACATCAACTCTTCAACTGAGTGAAGGCCAAGTAGAGAGGCAACAATGACTGCCTTGGACAACCTGACTGGAGTCACTCCATGGTCAATCAGTCTTTTTGCCCATATTCTTCTCAGAGCATGCCACCCACCGTCTGAAAAGTCTGGTCTTAGTTTTGGAAAACTCTCATTAAACATTTTACCCACCTCCATCTGTTTCATTCTGAAGACGAGTGTTAACCAACACTGTCTTTTCAGAGCTACACAAAATGTAAATACTGATTCAGTGCAGATGTGTGCTAATGGTGTAGTTTTTATTAATATAGTAAACACATGTGTACACTCAGTCAGAAATTGAGATTTAGGCTGTTTTTTATGTGGTTGGGCAGGTTTTACTTTATGTTTGGAATCTGGCAACCCTGGGAGATACATTTTATTGCAATCTAGCAAATCATAAAAAAAACCCTCATTAAACATCTAATTAAGTGACTTTAAAATAAGAAGAGAATACAGGAAATTTGACAAAAGTCAAGTCTTTGTTGCTCTTTCCTCACCAAAATCAAAATTTGAAAAGTTTAAACCTAATTTTCTTTTGGCCAGAGAAGAATGCACTAAATCCAGAGACAAAGCTATTTTACATAATTAGGGCCGGATTAAATGTTACGTAGGACCAGAGTTGGTCCGCGGGCCCTAATTTAACACACGTGCCCCCATCCAGACTTTCACGAGATGACCCGTGTTTTTATTTTAACACCTGGCCCCCCGGCGTAGGCTGAGGCTCCAGCATCACAGCCAGTCATTGAGCTCGGTGTGAGTTTCCGTCACGTAGCGGAGGTTACACCGATGCTAGCTGCTGTTAGGAGGCTGTTCAGGGAGCTGATTTCTGCGGCTGCACCTCCTGCTGGCACCTCGCTAACCAGCAGCAGTTAGCTTCCTGTGCACCAGCTTCAGTTGTTTCACCGGTGACAGCTGTCTCCTGCCTGGGTTTACTGCTCTCCTGGGGACTATTATGACTCATAGCTAACCAGAGGCTAACCTGCTAGCTGCTGCTGGTAGATGCTGCTAGTTGCTAGCCGCTGCTAGCCGCCGTGTGTCCGATGGAGCTGCAGTGTTGTTCGGCCTGCCGAAGATGACGGGCCGCCGGAGCCTCAACCATGGACCCTGAGGATGGGTGGACTAAAACAGTGTCTGCTCAGAAACCTGTGGACCCAACAGTTCTCGGCCAACACGATGGAAGCCTCGGTAAGAAGAAGTGTCTAATTCAAACTGTTTCATTCATATGCAGTCCTCTCTGTTTTACCGTTAAATCTGCAGTCTCTCTTAAATATTTACACTACAATGAACGACATTTAGTCCACCAGTTCACGTCTTCATTAAACTCTCAAAATGATTCAAACTATGCACTGGAAGTAGTGAGTTTAAAATAAATCATTGGATTTCAATAATTTGGATATGTCCAAAGTAGTTGATTATGTAACACATTTTAAAAATCTGGATTATTTCTGGATAAAATAAAGATGGCTAAAATGAAGATAAATATCTGGTGTCAAACTGTAGAGCTGTGTCTTTGTTGCCTTAGTTTTCTAAGATCCCTTTAAATGTTTTAAAGAGACTACAGCTGCAGATGTTAATCTTTCAGAGCTCAACATAAACAAAATAGTACAAATGCCTATAAGGTGATCTATTTTTTGCAGAACAGAGGAAAATATAAAAGCTTTTTATTTATTGGTTGCATAATTATTTGATCTGCTATAATGAACTTTACTCCAGGACGATAAAATGAATCATTCTGACCAGTTTATCAAATTATTATTGAATAACATACACTTAGATGAGCGAGATCTCATGTTCAATAGTCCACATGTAATAATTTTATTTTTCTGTTCAGGTAAAGTAAGTGTTTATTTTTATAGGCCTGTTATGATTTGACAACAGAGGTGGGTTCATCACTGCCAGCAGCTGCTTTGTGTCGATCAGGACAGCCTAAAAAAATCAAAGAAAACAAAATCCTTTACAAAAGAAAGGTAAACACAACTGCAGTGAAGTAATATTGAAACATTTGAAAAAATAAACAAGTTTTTGCACTGATTCTGTAAACTTTGTTTTCCTGTGTTTTTCTCAGTCGTGCAGTTTTTAATGTTCAAGTTTTAGCAGTAAGAATGTCTAAATTAAACCTTTTAAATAAAGCAACCCTCATAAGGTGAAAGATGAATGTCTAAAATTAAACTTAAATTGATCATTTATGCATTTCTCTTTTTTGGGACTATTGGGCCTCATGCAAGAACCGTTCGTACGCACAGATTTGTTCTTAAGTTGTGCGTACGAGTGGTTTAGGAGAATTTGTGGCATTCACCAATGTTTTCGTATTCTAAGATTTTTTTCAGATACGAACAAAATTCACGAGTGGTCCAGACCTGTCGTATATTTTACGTGCAGTCTGTCTGCTGT